CAGCAGGTCAATCTGAAGGAGGCAGTAACTTCTCATGAGGAAAGATAGGGCTGCCTAGGGGGGTTCTATTATTTTCAGCCAGTGTTATCTTAAGCCAAGACAGACATGGGAACACAGCTTTACTACATAATCAGTGTAATAGAGACACTATAGATTTTTGTTATTAGAAAAAATCTTTAAGCTAAATGATTTACAATCCTATTTAGAATGCAACTCTGAGTAAGTTTCCTAAAAACAGACTTATGAAAATTAGTCTTCTAGGTTACTATGGCATAGTACTGACGTACCAAATGCTAACAGTATGGTTGTAAACTCTAGGGAAATTACTTTTGAATGCACACTGATGGTTGAAGTTTCATATAAATTTGCTATCAAAAATAAATTTACTTAACATTTGTACTTGAACATTTCTGTTAAGTTTCATTGCTTTCTGTGTAACTTGTTAGACAACTACAGAATCCAATCAGACTGCGACCTGACCCTTAATTGTAATATATTAAGATCAGGTTTTAAAAATTACCCCTTCACTGGATATAAACATTTGGTCCTTTCAGAATATTTTTAACCATTATAGTCTCAAGATATTAGGTACAGTAAGAAAGTTACCATAGAGCCAGTATGTGCATTAAATGTCATGGGTTAAACTAAAGATACAGAGAAAACAAATGAAGCAGTGATTCCTAAATTAGAACTGCATCATCTTGGAAAAAGTCATTGTTTATGCCAGTATCTCCAGGTGTCAGATGAATTATTAATACAAAGTCATTCTTTCACAATAGCAGCATCTGACAGAAACTCTCTCTGCTTCTGGGAAGACTGAGTTTATGAAAGTGATTTCAGTGCAGGAAATTTTTCTTATTTTTCTTCTGTATCTATTTGCTAATTTATTAAATATAATTAAAACTGAATTATTTTCTTAAACTGACTTCTATTAAGTTCAATAAGGAGTTCTGTTACAGAACCCTATGTAAGAGGAGATGAATGTGCTACTCCCATGGTAAATGTGTTCAGTTATTGCAGTGTTTGCAGGAGTAGCCTCTTAATGATCACTAGCACAGGACGTTTTGGAGTACAACATTTCTTATTTAAAACTAAGTAAATGTTGATATATAATGTGATTACAAAACCAAAATGCCTTGAAAAACTAAGGAAAGCTGATAGAAGTGTAAGATTATTAAATACTTTTAGGAGACATGTAAGCTAATTGGGAAGATGGTGATTCAAAAAAGAATTCTAAACTACTGAGTTTCTCTAATAATTGTAGTAGAAACAGCTGTCAGCTTACTCAGGTTTTAAATGTTCATATATTATGAAGATTAAGCATTTTTAAAAACGGTGCAGCTGTAATTTTCAAAGATACCCTGTCCCTGTAGATTTATCTTTCTAGGTGCTATGTGTTGAAATTGTGAAGTGTAAAACATTGCTTCTAATTAAATGTAAATGTTGAGTATATCTCTTAGAATCAATGAATTATCTGAAATGGGACCAAAGAGTTATCAGAGAGAAACCAGCTATATTTAGCCTCAACATAAGTGATTACATCACCTACAGTAATAATAATATCTTTTCTATTTATTTTTAATTGCTTAAATGAATATGAGTATTTTCTCCTTTGTTGAATTTCTAATTTATAACTTCTGATGTTGAAGGCATATTTTATCAGGAGCTTTTTTCCCTGATAGCTCAGCCATGTTAAATGTTTAAATTTTGCAGACTGCACTGCAGCTAAACAAAATACCAATAACAGTAGTCACTTCACCTGTCTGTGGCATCTTTCCTATCTCCAAGTGTGCTGAAATCAGCCACAGCCATTAAAATACAGACAATAACTACAATGTTCACCTTTGTCAAAGAAATATTTTGATTATAGTTGTTTTCACTTAAAAAGTAAGTTATATTAACTTCTAGCTACTTGTAGCTCCAGAAGTCTCAGAAATGGAATCGCTCACAACACCTAGATCCGTGAGAGAATTTTAGTAGCAGCTTACTCATGCAACTCTTCAAATGTATTAAAATGATTGGAGCATAAGTAGAACTTAGGACCCTGTATAAGTCATGTCAAACAGCAGAATGTAGCCTTTCCTTCTTACAATATATTAAAGAAAACTTTTCCTAACACAAGGTAGGAAATGAACACTAAACTACTTGCATATATGTGTCTAAATACACACATATATGCAGAGCATTTTGCATTTCAGCTCAAAAGTACGTTGTCATTTTTGAACAGAATTGGTATACTCTTGAGTATATTTTAATCTAATATATGCCAGAAAAAAATATTTTCTTTTTTATAAGAAGAACTAAAAAGTTACTTTGTCTAGGAAGTTGAACTCTTGAATTTATTACAGAAAAAAGTTGCTTAGCTTTATTTTTACAAAACAATGCAGGAATGTAGTCATTTGTATCAGGGGAGAAGTGGGGATAAAATAAGTGCAGGTATATTGAACTGAGATATCTTAAACTCTTAGCATTTTACATGCCTAGCCACAAGCTAATATTGATATGTGATAACAACAAATTCTCTGACTGAAATGCTGTGTATGTGTTTATATGTATTTTCAAGGGATTTTCCTGTCACTGTTGTAGGTTCAGTAGATAACCTTTTCTTGCTGAACGCATAGTTGTTTTCTTTCTTTAGCTGGTTGGTTGTTGTTTTTCAACTGGCACGTGTGAAAATCTAAACATCAAGGAACTTCAGGTAGGCTAATACTAGTTTCCATAAGTACTAGAAAAACCCCGTTCCTCTCTTGAGGAAATGATAAGTAGAGATTAGAGAGAAAAGATGGAATGGTACAATAAGAGTGGTGGGAACGCAAAAGGCAAGACACAGGAAGAGTGCAGAACTAAAGGTATTTTACAAGTCTGATGTGAAGCCAGACAAAGCACAGTGGCACATATTTCAAATGTGAAATTCAGTCAGCAGTTCCTTTTTTGATTGGAAACTGTACTTATTTCCATTGTAATTTGGAACTTTCAGTTAATTACCATGCTTAATTCTGAAAATAAAATCGCAATTCATAAACTTATTAGAAGAGTAAATTTGAAATTAACACAGGAAATTTCTGTGAGCAATATCTCATCAAGATTAACTTCAGAATCTTTAATTTTATATGTATATCAAGTATAAATATCATCACTACTTAATGCTAAAAATTTTGCCATTAATATGAAACTTCATGCTTAATATGTTACACCAGGCTCTTTCTGATAACGATCAAGAGGAAGCAATTGTGAAGAGTCTCCCGCACTGCTGTACTCTGATAATCTTGTATTGTTTTCTTAAATATCTGCTCCTGACTCATGTTGGAGCCATTCACTGAATTAGATAGATCCCAGGCATAACTGAGGATAACAATTTTAAGATGTTACATTGTTTTTACTGTTTTAAAAGAATAATGCCAAGACACCTCCTCAGTATGTTTTTCTTTTCTTTTTTTTTTTTTGTTCTTCTCATACTGTAATATTTTTGTGCAAATTTTGATAGGGAAGAAGGATGCGTAGACTAGCAAGTACTTTAGAAATTATCTGTTTCGGTAACAGTAGATGGAATATCATTTCCAGCACTACCTCTGTACGTGTCTGCTACATTGGGTTCTGAGCAATAGCAAGAAGTCCACTGCAAAACCTTCCCATTTAAGTTTGATTTCCAGCCACATCTGGGAGTGGCAGCTTTGCCTATGAAGTTACATGGTGTCTTAGGAGTTACCATGAAAGGTTTATATCCAGTTTGAATACTTTGAAGAATCCTGGGTTTTGTACAGAGTATAATATTGCTTATTAAACAGTACACCGCATCTGCTCTGACAGATTTTAATTAGCTTTAAAATATTTTTAGACAAAATGTAAAAGGATTTGTGTGTACAGAGAATACAGTTGTTTATGGGTGTATTGTCAGCATTGACAGGAGAATTATTGTGCTTTTTTTGTGTATTTCCCGTTTTTATTTATTCCATATCTATTTGTATTATATCAATATCTTGATATCTTTTTTTCCTTTTTTTGTTTTTTTTTAGATTCATAACCAATACCCAACAGAGTTTGAGTTCAATCAATATTATCTGAAGTTTCTGGCTTTTCATCACATATCAAATCGATTTAAAACATTTCTTCTGGATTCAGACTATGAAAGACTAGAGCATGGTATGTGTGATGTTTGTTTATTGCATACTGGTTTCGTAGTGTTGTCAGTATTTTTCTCATCAATATTTGGTCTACAAAGATTTGCCTAGTTTGATATAGTCCAGTAATTGCATGGTGATGGTGTAATGACTTCCATTTCAGGAATGTAAAGCAAAAAGGAGGTAAAGAACATGTAAAATTTTCTGAATTAATTATTCCTCAGCCATGCCACTGATAAGACTAAGAGAAAATGAAAGAAATTAGTGCCATCCCTCAGGGTTTTTCAGCAATTTATCCGTATGGTTCAGTTTCCCCTAGTAAATCTCTTATTTTAACAGAAACAAAACCTTCAGGAATCCTTCAGAGAGTGCACGAGATTGCAGGAAAGGAAAGCCTTTCCATCTGTTATCTCTTACTTTCTCTTGCACTCTCTCCAGTGTTTCTCTTCTTTTGTATTTCCTTTTTATTCCATCTGTCGTGTGCGACCTTACTGATTCCAAGGCCTTATCTACCCTCAGAGCCCTCTTAATAAGACTTCACAACTACATTTGAAGCTGTTCTTGGAACTTGTTCACTAAGCAAAACACTTAAGTGCTCTGAATTCCACTGCTTTGTGGGGTGTTTCTCATGGCGTGTGGTCAATTTTAATGCTTTTCTAAAAAAGTGTAGTAACTGTGGAACAGACTGAACTTGAGCAACCATTTCATTTCAACAAAAAAGTTAATTCCCATTATTTATTTCCATTTGAACAAAAGCAGTGAGTTGGAGTTAATTACCTCCTGTGGTTCCTTCAAACCTGGATTGTTACATGGATCTACAGTTTGGGGAGTGGGGTGGTGTTTGTTTGTTTAGGATAGCTTGCTTCCAAATAGCATTTAATGCAATATAAAATCCTGTTTACAGTGGTCTTTGGATAAACTATACACCTTTCCAAAGTAATTTTAGATAGCACAAATCTATGAGTAACTTATTTATGCTAGCCTAATTTGTTTTCCCTGAAATGAGTTAGCAAGTAATTTCAGGTGGAGCTGGTCCAGCAGATTGGAAGGACTGATAACCTCGGGTGGTGAGGGCAGAAGCCGTTAGCAAAGCTTGGTGGTCTGCTGAGTCCACGTAGCTGCATGCAGAATGGTACAGTCATAAATGCACTCAAGTACTTCAGAAAGTTTCAGAACAGATTTATAAATGTAAGGCTATTGATATTCTATCAACTTGTGGCAGAGCGGCAGTTGCAAAGCACAGCAGTTGTTTCATCAAATACGATCCCTCGTTGCAATGGCATTTGATAGTAGATTTTACTGTATGTTTAGTCTCTGAAATTCCTTATAGCGATGCTTTAGTGTTTGTGATGTATTATTTAGTGTATGCGATGCTGCTGTTATTTTCCTTAGGGACATTGTTTGAAGATAAAGGAGATAAACATGCCAAAAAGGGAATTTGTATTTGGGAGTATATTGAGAAGATGCACAAAAGGAGCCCTATTTTCTTCAATTACCTCTATGCCCCTGCAGAAATAGAGGTATGGTAAAAAACAAAAACAAAACCAAAACTAGGTCATTTGTTATTCTGAGTGATTCCTTGAGTTCCTTTTGATATCTCAATTGTTCTCAACTGAATTAAGCATTTGATGGACAGAGCTGACCCAACTGGACTGACTGGAGCGGTGTCTCACAGTCCCAGTGTATTCTCTGGCCAAATTCTGGAATATGTATTTATACATCCTGTTGAGGTAAATGAGGACCTTTGTTTGATTTCATTTCATTATATGAATGAGTATAAAAATTATCTTAGAGTTTGCACAGATTTAAAAAAAAACCATACAAACTGCAAACCACAGTTATGGGGAAATGAGTTTAGAGTCGTAATGGGATATGTTTCATAACTATCTGATTGAATCACATCTGTGTGCCCACTAGATTGGACATATAATTGTATAAAATCCACAGTACACTCACTATTATAGAATTCCGCAACAGCGGGGAGGAAGCAGTCACTCCTGTTCAAGCACTCATGAACTGCAAGAAAAGTGTGCTGTTATTACTGAAGTTCTGGAGACAAGGCTGTTTTAAGGTGTTCCTGCTATCCGCTGCCACACAGATGTTCTATGTTGCTCTCTGCTGCTTTGGCAGTGAGCGTCATCCTGATAAATCATTTGTTTGTATGTCTGTCCACTGCTGGTCACCAGAAAACATAATGATGGTACAGTATCCACTGTCTCGGAGGCCATGGCGCCACTGATATTTTTGTAGGTGTTTTTTGGTTTTCCTTTTTCCTCAAGTTGTTTCACCACAATGTACCTTAGCATACATGGCACCTTGCACTCAGGTCTGCTCTATAAACTGACCTCATTAAAAAAAAGCAGAAAAAAAGAAAAAAAAATTATTTTCCCTAAGGTATTTTGAGTCTGCATCAGACCACTCTGCAGTCAACAGTGCACCCTCCTTCAACCCACACACACTTATACTCACCTAATAAAGTGGTGGTGCAAGAGGGTGGAGGGAGAAAACAAGAGGGTGACTTTCAGTGGATAGGAAGTGCTTCAGCTGTCTCTGTTTTAGAGAAACGTCTGTTTTCTCGGTAGATTCATCACTGTGATGAATTTGGAGCTTGATGGGCTGCTTGTTCACTGTATGTCCTATCCACTTTGCTGTAAGCAGTAGCCTGATTAGTAAGCAATCAGGAATAGCTTTCAGTATTTTGATAGTGGGTTTTTTTCTCATTTTTAGAAGAAACTATTTTTCCTCATATGAAATGGTGTCAGAGTAGCAGAATTAGTCATTAAGACTGAGCATCACTCCTCAGACTTTAAAACTGCCCATTTGCCTGAGGCAGTAATACCCTTCCAGTAAGGTGCACGCAAACTGAAAGTCTTACCTTATTTATTAAAAGAAAAAAAATAATGCAAAGTGATTTGTATGAACTGCTCTGAAAGATCTGCCATCTCTGGCTGCCTACTTGATATTACTGTGGCTTTTTCAAGTGCCATGTCCACCTACATCATGCAGCCTGTCTCATTTTTCTGATGGTAGAGAAGATTTTCTGCTGAGAAAAATTGAAGAGTGATTGCTGTTGAGAGCATTTTGTTTCTTTAACAGGAGGGACAAAGACTGTGAGGGTATCAACTGCATAGAGGGAATTAGAGTTCTTGGTAGGCACCTGGTTTAGTAGCAGGATAAAAATGAGCAGTATATTCCCAAAGCTAGTATTATTTTTAGGTTTTGACATGACTGAGCCAAGATCTTGTTGTGGAAATTACCAAACTGCACCGCTACTCACCTGGTGCAATATACTGTTCAATTTAGAATAACGTAGAGAATAGAAGTATTGTATTGTAAGTCTGAAACTGAAATACTTCCTTTCTGTATTATAATGAAACTTTGTTTCAAATAGGCACTGAAGCCAAATGTAAATATGTCCAGCCTCAGAAAGTGGGATTATTATGTAGAAGAGATTTTGGCTACAGGTCCTTCCTATGACTGGACCATGGTAACTGCAAAATGCAGTGTTTCAGAGGAAGCTGACCAAACGGATGGCACAGTCTCTCAGACTAAGAGGAAAATAGTGTGGCCGTGTTATGATGATGTGAAAAAAATACAACCTGATGCCATCAGCAGCCTTTTAAATGTAAGTACATGTGTCACACAGAACAATAAATTCTCTTATGCTCATGAAATTCGTAATTACTTTTTATTTAAATTATTGTCTATGCTATTATTCAAAGGATCATGATAGATGTCAAAACAGGTATTTAGTAAAACTGACTGGTTGATCTTGAGAAGGGGGGGTTGGTCTGGGAATCAGACTTCCTGCAAAACTTATGTTGTTCTGAATGAACACTTTTCTAGGAGTACACTTTAATAGTAATCAACAACTATGAGAAAGCCAGTAATGGATTCAGTTTTTCACGATTTTTTTTAAATTATGAGGTAGGTAGTGTAATAAATTTTTAGCTTTCCTTTTATAGGAAATGCAGGAACTATTATTTTAATTTGGGCAAACTCAGAATCTAACTTTCTTGTCCTCTTTCTACTCAGTTCAAAGTGGGTGTGCGGTAAAATGACAGACCCAGATTTCCAGACAGATCAGAAAGCAGAACCTGATACGTGTGGATTTTAACAAGTGGGAGGCAGATGCACAGACAGAAGCTGAACATCTTGCCCCAAATTTATCAAAACAGTTTTCCATGATTGCTCTTAGTTTATTCATGTGTACTAGGACCAAACTGGAAAATATAGATTCTTCAGAATATTTTGGTACTTAAAGTAGATTCCTGATTTTGGCTTTTTCTTGTCTGGGCTTGTGTAGGCTGCTTAGGTTTTGTCCTTTCTTCATTAGAAGATGCAAAAGATCCCATTATCATGATAATTGTAGTTATTTAGAATGATTTAAAATCCATATTTTCTTAAATGTTGGTTGCTTATATATAATTAATTAACAGCCCAAATATTTAGATTATCATCTTAATTGATAGTGCAGAAAAATGATGACAGCATTCTTCACTTCCTGGAGCTATTCATTTCAGCTACATGGATATTCAGATATACATCACTTTGTACAGTTTTTTATTTTGAGAACTATTTGTAAGCTATACCTTATATTAAAGCTGGGATTGCAAAGTGATGCTTGGAAAATTGGGATATGCTGTGGTTTCCCGAACTCCTGTGAATCAAAGATGATTTTTAGCAAGTCTTAAGGGCAGGAAGTTTTTGAACAGATTTGAGGCCTTGAGGATAGACTTGCTTTTGCTAGAGAGTTAGCTTTATTCTGGCACATTGCTCTTTTTGTTTTTTGGTCCATTCCTTCCAATCATAATTGATCAAACACAGGAACAATGCCCAATTAAAAAAAAAATAATTATCACTTGTAAAACTCCCCTTGACTCAAAGTAAAACAGCCGGGACTTCTCAGAGCTTATAATTTCACAAATGCAAAGACAGAGCAATCTCTCAGCAGGGATCATATCGGGAATTCTTGAGCAAAAAAACAGAGAGCTTTCATATCAGGTAACTGGAGGCCAGAAGTACATCAGGAATATAGCAACAGTGTCGTTCTGTGATTCATCCTGAGGTAGATGCCAAACTATCTATATCCACAGCTGTGAGAAACTGCCATATCACGGGGAAATTAGCCATATTATATTCCAAAGATGTGTGGGTCAGCTTTTATAGAGTTTAAATGTTATTTGTGAATTAGATTATAGTAATAAAAGATAGCAATGGAGAGGAATATTTGGAAAACTTTGAAAAGGTTGTATAAAGGTTACAAAAATATTCTTCTGAGTTTTAAAAGCAATGTGAACTTCCTTTTAAAGCAAGTTGTTAATTTAGGGCTATTGCTGATGTAGGATAAAGACCTATCTTTAATCATAAATCCATTGAGAATGTGGTGGTATCCAAAAAATGTTTGAACTGAGACTATATTTAGCAGTGGTAAATTATTAGGGAAGATTGAGTCTCTTTTTTTTTATAATTATAAGATCAAATTTGTTTGGTCTAAAGATATTTTTCAATTGAAAATGAGATAGTGGTCTTCAAGATGTAAAGCTGAAACAGAGAAGTTATTGAATGTCTTAATTCAGGATTTTCCTTGGTAGAATGTGGTGCTATTAAGAACAAAAGTTGTGGTTTCTGTAGCAGTAAATGTTCTAATGTGTTTTGGAGACATAACAATCCACCTCTAACCAGATATGTGTGGTGGCTCTGTGGTTTCCATAAATCCTTATGTTTATGAGTTTTAGGAAGTTAACCGATAGGTACATTTCATTCAAACCTTTTAAAGATTGTAGATATAAAATGCATTTCAAAATAAATTTCTGTATAAAGTTTCTGAATTCACTTCTACCACATCATCCACCAGCAAATATAACCTAGGTTGTTCAAATCTTACATTCTCAAAAGTGTACTTTGGAGACATAGATGTTCGAAAGCAGTACCAAACAGAGGTGCTTCCCTTTAAGACCATTTTCTGATGGGCTTTCTGCATGATAGAAATTAGAAACAAGGTATGGATAGTAAGAGTAACTACCCATCCTTTTTTCTTAAAAAAAAAAAAAGGTAATTGTGAATTTTTTAAAAAAGGTAATACTGTTGTACACATATGCCTCTATTTTCTCTTTCAGAGATTAGTTGAAATAGTTTTGAAATAATTTCTCCATTCAAAAAGGTAGATTTCTCCACAAAACTCAAAACCAACTCATTTTACTGGAACTTTGAGATTTCTGCTGCTTTTTTGGGTTTTTTTGTAAGCACTCGCTTTCCTTGCTCGTAAAATTCAATAATACCACAGTGTAGCACATCCAAGAGCCATGTCTTCAGTATAGTCTAGGCAACAGGAGATGAACCAGAAAGATAAATTTAAGGAATTTTTCTTTCAAAGAAATGTAGCCATAGTCCATTCCACACATGGAAGGAAAAAATAGTAATGTTTTCAATAAAATTTAAAACTGAACGAGCAAGAATAAATCTTAGCAATTTATTGCCATGTAAGTTTTTTACATGGGGTTTATTAAAGGAAAATATTATTCTTTTACTGTTAATATATATAGGAGATAGTTGAAAGCTTTTCATTTTAAGTTCTGGAAGCACTACTCATTGTGGAGCCAAAAAAAAAAAGGAATGTGACCCAGTTGCTAAGTAACAAATTTCAGTTGCTTCCAGATTCTACAGAGAAAGACTCAGAAGTCAAGACTAGGGCAGAAAGAGAATGATCAGATTAAAACCTGACTTTTAGTGCTAAAGAGCTTATATCCTTTTGCCCTATACTGGAAAACCTTTTACGTAAAAAATCTGTGGTAAATTGATGCTGTCACACATATCCCATCAGGAAGCGTTTTACACTCAGCACTTTGAAAGAGGAACAAGTAACCTAGAGAAGCTTTTAGTCTGGCTTGTGTTCACCATGCCTTATTTTTGTATGTACCTATGAAGATACTCCAAACAAAACTATTCTGGTTTTATTTCTTGGCCGGAAGAGGGTCCCATAATATTTAATGTATAAGTGGCTTTCAACTACCTGCAGTGTTTAAAATCTCTGGTTAGATTCTTGCTGTTAAGCCAGATTTCTTATATTTAGTTTTACTTTTGAATTTTCTAATCTACCTTCAGCAAGGAAGAGTTTGTAGACATATTTTGCACCTGTTCCACTGTCAAATACTGGCTTTTTTATTTTCACTTCAGAGTTCAAAATTTGGTCTAGGAGTTAATTTCCTGGTCAAAAATTATTTCTTACCTTAAAATATAGTTCTTTTCTGTAAGTCTTTCAATCAGTAACAATTTCCTGAAGAAACTGTGTTTCTAAAAGACCAATAGGAGTTGGAGAATATTATGAAATCTACTTGAATCATTTGAAATAGAAGAATAAAGTCAGAGACATACTGTCTCTGTTTTGAAAATAAATGTCTTGGCTTTTAGTTGGCTTTTATATAGCATGGGAATTCTCTGTCCTATGGCAATTTTTTTGTTCCATCATCAATTCTTAATCGGATTTGCAAAATAGCTTTTAATTTGATTTCATTAAGAATCAGATTTTCATAAAAATATAGTTGTTGAAAATAAAAATATAGGAAGGAAGCATGACAAGGAATATGGACCACTGCAAAGTAATGACAAATGTATTGATGAGTGTTCACAAGGAAACATGAACTAATGAAATTGCCTCTTTTTACTTAATTTGGCATGCACTGTCTTATTAACAGGAAATAACCCTAACTGGAGGTTATCAATACAGGTCATATTCCCAAGTTCCACAACAAGAACATGTTGTTACAGTTTGGCATCCAAACTGAATAAATCTTTCTGTTTCATTTCCTTCTTTTATTACAGCTTTGTATCCCATTTTACATCCCAGGGTAAATGTTGATACTGGCAATGTACAGCGTCAGTGTCACAGCACAGAATTTGTTCTTTGTAAATATTTTTAATAAAATATCCTTATCATTGTCATGTTTCTGTTACGGCAATTGCTGTTGATTTTTGTGTGTTCAGGAGAACTGGCAGAGAGTTAAAAGCATAATGGGTCCTCCAACCTGGGACATGCAAGAAGAATGACGTGGCTGATGCTGTACTTGGTTGCCTTTGACTCCTGAGTCTGGTTCAGTTCAGTTTACAGCTGGTTTGACAGAGGTTTTTGTACTTTACTGGGCAACATGGCCTAAAAGTTCTGTGTGTAAAAATATTAACTAGAAAACTGTTGTCTGAAAATTATTGTCAGGAAATGATCAGTTAGAAATGTTTAAGAAAACCTTCGTTATTTGTTTCAGGAAATCGAAAGGTTGCAAAGTAAATTAAATCAGAGCCCAGAAAGGTGGCAGCTTTTATGGGAAAGGGTCAAAATGAATCTAAAGGATGACACCAGACAAGACAATGTAAGTAGTAAAAGATCTCATCCAACAGAATAATTTCATTCTGGCTATATAGGCTACCTGAGGCACTGACAAAATCACTGTATTTCTTGGAGTAAAATCCTGCTTTTGAAAAATCTAGTATGTTGTTCTAACTCATGATACTGGCTCTGTATTTCTGCATGTAGAAAAACATATTTATACTTGTGCTATTTATCTAATTGCTCTTCCAGAGTAGATTAAAGCATACATAAGCGTGAGCATTTGACTAATACACAAATATATGACTTTATGTATTTAAAAGATTCTTCAAGTACAAAAACCCTCAGATACCGAAAGTAGCCGAAAGCATATCACAGAGTTTCAGAGATGAGTAAAGATATTTTCATGTCTAAATGGAATTTTGGAATTGTAGATTGTAGTAAAGGTAGGAAGCGTTCATGCTTGTGTTTCCAATTCTCAACTGCAGTAAAAAGAATAGCTGATGATATAGATATTTTCTAAGCCAAAGACTGCCTTTTTGCTGTCTACATGCACTAGAAGATACTGCTTTTTGTGAGCTTTCCCTATAAACTTGAGCTACCAGCTCAAGACTGTACCCAACTCTTCAGCTTCATGTGCTTGTTCAAATTTGCCAGCCTCTGTGCAATGGTCACAGTGCACAGCTTGAATATGCTCTTTGTCCATTGCTCTCAGGAAAGCAATATGCTTTCTGTCATAGTCATTCAAGTTCACTTTACACCCCAGACAAATTCAAGATGAAAACAGTTTTATCCTAACAGGATAAAATCTAGAGGATTTTTAAATTGATTTTGAAGCAGAAAAGAAAATGCAAGTATAAACACACCTGATATCAGTCTCCTGTCCTAGGTGTTATTTCAGGATTCTCAGATAAAAGCAAAAGCTAAGGGCCAACCCCAAAGAACTCTTGTCTCTAGGATGCTGTCATTTAGATTAACATCAAATTCAGGATCCCTCTTGTTCCAGGTTGTTGAGATTCTACTAAAATAATATGGATCTATAAAGTAGCTCTTGGAAACTACACTCTTTTCCTTCCCTCCCATCCCTTTCTTCCCTATGAAATTAGGGAAATGTATTGTATCCAAATGTCTGACTAATTCTGGATGCTTCTGAGAAAACAAGAGAAACATTGTTCAAGATTATGTCACTGGAATATACAAGGCTTTTCTGCAATACTGGTATCTCACACCATGTGAACCCTTCTGCTTAATAAATGCATTGAATTGCCATCCCTCTGACTTCTCTTCTGAGGCAGCACTGACTTGTATTATGAAGATTTTTTTTGCTTTATAATAATGGATGGCTATAAACTCTTCAGAAGGGACAGGAGAAGAAGGAGAGGCGTTGGGGTAGCCCTGTACGTTAGGGAATGTTTTGACTGTCTAGAGCTTGATGATGCTGACAGTAAGGTTGAGTGTTTAGGGGTAAGAATGGGGAAAAATCAACAAGGCAGATGTCATGGTGGGAGTCTGTTACAGACCACCCAACCAGGATGAAGAGGCAGATGAAATATTCCATAAGCAGCTGGGAGAAGTCTCACAGTCTCTGGCCCTTGTTCTCGTGGAGGACTTCAACTTACCAGCTGTCTGCTGGAAATACAGTACAGCAGAGAGGAAACAGTCTGAGAGGTTTCTGGAGTGCATGGAAGAACTTCCTGGCACAGCTGGTGAGTGAGCCAACTAGGAAAGGTCCCCCGCTGGACCTGTTGTTTGTGAACAGAGAACTTGTTGGGGATGTAACAGTTGGAGGCTGTCTTGGGCATAGCAATCATGAAAGGACAGAGTTTTTGATTCTTGGAGAAGTAAGGAGGGAGGTCAGCAGAGCTGCTGCCTTGGACTTCCAGCGGGCAGACTTTGGCCTGTTTAGGAGACTGGTTTACAGAGTCCCTTGGGAGGCAGTCCTGAAGGGTAGGGGAGTCCATGAAGGGTGGACATTCTTCAAGAAGGAAATCCTAAAAGCGCAGGAGCAAGCAAGCCCCATGTGCCAAAAGATGAGCCAAACAGAGAGCTTTGGCTTGATGATCTTAAACGTCTTTTCCAACCTAAACATTTCTATGATTCTGTGATTCTAATTCACAACTTATGTGTTGTACCACATATTATCAGCATAATGTTGAGACAATCTTACAATGCAAGACACATTGCATTACCTTTTTTCCTTTTCTATTCAACTTTTCTAGCTGCGGAGACATCCTTCTGGCTCCTCAGGGATGATGTCAGCTAATCTACATTCCTATCAGAAGAGGTCTTTGTTGGAAATACCTGACAGTGGGCTGGGTGAGGAACAGAGTGCAAGCATCTCTCCCTCTAATGGAGTAGATAGAACAACGACGCTGTACAATCATTTCACGTCAAAGAATGATGAAAATAGGTAAACTGAATAATCATGGATTATTTATGAACCTTGTATTAGATGGGTACCAGTCTCTGCCATAGAGGGAAGAAAAAAAAAAAAAGAAATTTTCATATGCACAGAATGCTTTGTGACTACTTTATTCCTTTGTGGTTTGGATTACATTTAGTTGTCTTGATGAGTGGGCCTCTCTCTCTGAGCGCTGTCTTTCAGTCTTCCCCTTTATATGCACAAGTGAATTGTAGGCACACATTTAATGCATCCAAAGTAGTGAAACCATGTTTATCCATGTATCAGTTACCAATAACAAAACTATTGGTTTTAAACCAATTTGTTTTACTGCAGGAAAAGAAGTGTTTGAATATGTATGTAGCCATTTTGGAGCGTTTATATAACACCAGTATTGTTATTATGGACTCAAATGCCATTTGTATTTTCTATACCTTTCAGATCTTTTGAAGGTACGCTATACAAAAGAGGAGCTTTACTAAAAGGTTGGAAACCTCGCTGGTTTGTGCTAGATGTGACAAAACACCAGGTAAAAGCTTTTCAAATAGTGGGTGTTTTTATGACTAGTTTGCTGCTTTTTTATTTACTGGGTTTGTATAGATTGATTTTACAAATAATACTAATAATGTTTATTTTCAGATGCAATGTCTATGTTACATCATTATAGACCATATATCTATGTTTATCTTGTGTATTTTAGAGCTGATGCAGCATTCTGGTTGGACAGGGTTTTTTTAGTATTTTGGGTTTTTTAAAAAACAGTGATAACTGTTTAGCATATAATCATAAAAGACTTCTTGGACTGGAAGTCATGCATTATTGATTGTGCCCAAACATTTTTTGCCTGCTTCATGCCTTCAGGGATAAAAGGCAGTGTCTGAGGATATTTTCTGGGCATTGTGGTATACAAGCACTACAAGCAATTTTTTAAAGCACTGCTAACTCTAGAAAGCCACAAAGCAATTAAGTGGTGAGCATAATTTGCCCTTTAATATGACCTCTTTAGTTTCCAAAAGAACTAAAAACTGTTTCTGAACTAGAGACTCAAAAAAGTAAAAGGTATTTTCTAGAATACGTTTGGCGTGCTGAGAGCTAATATCGTAACTGATAGCAAGTTTAATTCAGGCGTTCAAGTTGAAACTCTAATAGTTAATGTATGCTCAGTGTGTATTTTACAGTCACTTTGTTCCTCAGGTACTTTGCAAATTAAAGGGCATTATACACTCTGGAAAATCATATTCTGAATTATTTCAGCAGAAAAATCCATTTACCTCACTTGGCTTTTTAATGTTTTTCTGTAACCTGTATTTGAGAAAGCTGACCTGGAATCTCTGTATTAAAGTCTTTTAAAATATGGAGAACGGGGTCACACATTGCTCTGAAATTAGTTTGAATTTTGTAAATGACTTAAAATAAGTTAAAATTTCATCTCAAATTTGTATTTCTAAAAGTTCTGGAATGCCAAGTTCCTGACTGAACAATAATTTCAATATAGGAGTATTTTAGATTAGTCATAGTGATGTAAATTTAGTAGCAAAATTATTTGTAAATATTCTGACAAATAATTTTCCAGCAAGAAGCACTAAAAACAGAGGAGATCTGTTGGTCTAAACATTTTACCCAATTTACATTGTATGCCGGAATTCTGCAATGGAAATATGTGGTCTTGTGTACTTTAAACATAAAGTTGGGACATCAAGCAGTAATCTTCATTGAGCCAAATGTTCCACACGGTGTGGGTTCTAACCTCTGCAACTCATGTATGCTTTTGTGTAAAAATATTAATTTATTGTAAACAATACACTTTAAAAATAAATAATATAAAGACAGGCATCTTTTAAAATGCTAATTAAGGATTTCTAGATTAGTATGGTAAAATACCAACAAATGTGCTGATAGTAATTATTCTTCCTGATACGCAGGAGAAAAAGTCCATTTTGCAGAAGAAAAAACACTTCCACATTTTTTGCATAACCAGATACCCTCCTGAGTACCATAGATGCAGAAGTAGAACAGGTCAATCTTAGTTGGAATTCTGTTGTTTGACCTTTGCTGTGCAGGTTTGCTCTATGTTTGTATTGGTTTGTGGGAACTTTTTTATTTATTTTTTTTAAGCAAGTATCAGATTTTCTTGTCTGGAACTTGTTTGCATATTGAAACTCAGTTTAGAGAGTGGTTAACATTCATATCAAAGTGCCTTTGCAAGGAGGAAAAAAAAAAGCAAGTTTCATTCATCCACTGTGTGCAGTATAAGAAAATGTGAGTTTATAAAAATGTAGTTTATAATTATCTAAAATTATACTTAAATTTTTGCTGATCATTTTAAATTCTTGAAATACAGAGAATAAGCGTTCTGTTAAATCCTTGGTGAAGCAAAGCTTTTGTGTTAGTTTCAAGGTAATGATCAGTGAAGAAGTGGTTTCTGATAGAAAAAACTGATGAGGAACACTGAATCCTGATGACCAGGTTCTGCTTTCATCCTTCACACGTCCTCTGCCCAGAAGCAATGCATGATTATTTGAAGCTTTTCTGCTCTGAAACTCTGGTGACAAAATGCTCATCTCCCAACTCTGTGTCTGCACAGGAGTGGATGGTGACTTTGCTATTACCCCGCAATGTCAAACAGAGGGCTGGCAGATTAAGAGCTATCACCAGTCCCACAATTTTGTATATACCAAACCTATAGTTTTTGTCAGTTGTGTCTTAGAAATTTCCCACGTCTGATGTCCCTGGGTCCTAATAATATTTGTGCCTCCCACCTTTACCCTTCATGCCCCCAAGTTATAGCCAGGAGAAAGGAAGAAGAAGTGAAAGGTCCATCTAAATAGCATATTTGGGGTTTTTTCCTCTTGTGGTCTAGCTGCGATACTATGACTCTGGTGAGGACACAAGCTGTAAGGGACACATAGACCTTGCAGAAGTGGAAACTGTGATTCCTGCTTCTCCAACAATTGGAGCCCCAAAACATGCAAGTGAAAAAGCATTTTTTGATGTAAGTATATCTGGTCTTTACTTGATCTTTATGTGAAACTTTATTTTCTTGATGCATTTAACCTACTAGTTTCAGCCTTGCTGGAAGGTGTGAGCTAGGAAGAAGCTGTCATGCCAACTCAGTTTATTTATAATATATTCATAAATTCAGACCCAATTAGTACATTGAGTATTACAGTTTAAAGTTTGCAAGTTTCTTTTCTTGCATGTTGACTTGTCTGCCTTCATGTTCCTTTTTTCTTATTTTTCCCTTGCAGTTGAAGACAAATAAACGTGTATATAATTTTTGCGCTCAAGACGCACAGAGCGCTCAACAATGGATGGATAGAATCCAGAGTTGCATTTCAGATGCTTAGAAAGGAAAAGCATTCCCTAATAAAGACACTTTTAAAGCACCTCTTCCTGTAAGAAGCTAAGTTCTGAAATGTTACTGACAGACAACCAGCCTTCCTTGCATTTCAGCCATAAAAGTTCATAATCTGCTGAAGTTCCTTTTCTGTTTAATAATTATAACCACTGTAACTGCTATTTTCTTCTGCAGGGAAATAATTGAAAAATAATAATTCATTTATGCTAAATTTCCACTTTCTTCAGTACAGGTCCTAGCTGTAAAAGTGGGCTGTATTTGCACTATCATCTAATTCTGGTTTTCTCATTTCAGAGCTATTCTGTTAGGAAACCTGTCCAAAGGAAATTGTAGAAATTTTCCCTCCAACAGGAAGTGTATTTTCACTTTATTTATATTTTTAAGCAGAATGTTCTTATTTCCAAGCTAGTCATGAATAAGAGGGAACATGTTTACAATTCCTGAAAATAAATAAATGAAGCTTGTGAGTCCAGTGACATATGTATCAGGTTGCCAATGTTTAGAGACAGTTGATATTTTTAAAGTCCAAAAAGTGAAAAGGCCCAATACCAGACTTTCAAGTGTCTTCTTAGTGTGCAGGTCATTCTCTAATCTTGTGCTTTACTGAGTGCTTCTGCAATGTTGTTATGGAATTTCAAACTCTAGGGATTATCTGAAGATGATAGCACTATTATTTTAGACTCTGGTTGCAATTACAATGGGATACATGAAAGAAAACTGGCCGACGCTATCCAGGAGAAACAGAAAACAACAAGCTAGGAATTCAGTAGAAGAAAGATCTCTTATGTGTGAGTTGTATATGTTAATTTATGTGCTGTTCTGCTCACTGTAAAATAAAAAATAACAACCATGATAATGCACTAAACAATGAAGCAAGCACTTGCACTGTAATCTTTAGAATGCGGACATTTTGCAGGACAGAGGTAAGTTCTAGCAGAACAATACTAGCTAGTTAACAACTTCTACAGATATTAAATATGTACATAATGAGGTTTGATGTGTCGTGATTTGATACTTTGTAAAAAATTTTTGCACATGAATTGGAAGACTGTTTATAGATTTTTACATTTGATGAAATGGTGTTTGTTCAGCTTAAATCCTGGTGAAACATTTTTAATAGCCCCAAATTAGTAGCAATTTTACAATCTACAAATAGCGATGACATTGAGTAGAATATGTAGGTAATTAAGCCATTGTTTTTATTTTGAAATGTTAATATGTTAAATAGTACACTAATATTACAAAAGGTTTGTATATATGATTCACTATTTTCTCATTTTTCCAGATGTTCTGCTTGTAATTTAATGTCAGCCTAACCAAACTGACTCTACTTATAAGGTTTTTTCAGTTATTAAATTGTTTGTGGTTTTTTTTATAACTAACGTATTTTGTCAGAAGGAACATAAATTTCTCACCACACACAATAGGAAATGCAGCTGTTTTTAATACATTTGCAGTTTCAAAACAAAAATATGAAGGATTTTTCTAGCATTTTTCAATTGACGGATTTCCACCTGTGACAATGGTGTTTGCACATTTGTATTTTTCTTTGTATATGAAGTACTTTTATATGTACTTTGTAAAATGCTGACCTTGTTCTTATGTTATATGAAAGTATACATACCACTGCTTTTTTTGTAACTAGTTAATTTTAACTCTTGTATGTTATGTGATATATGTATGCTAACCGTCTTGTTAATAAATACACTTCTTAAGGAAAAGTAAAACCTTTCCTTTTACTGTAAAAGAGAAAAAAGCAAGACCCACATGTTGAAATACTTCCACAGGCACAAGACAAATCCTTATTTACTCTGTATTAAGAATAATGGGTGTATTAAAAACTATGTGGTCTTTTGTATACTTGTAAATATTCTTACATAAAAGTTACTCTTGAGCATCCTTAACTCAAACACTTGACAGCAGTAACACTAAAGACTAAATAAATCAGAATTTAAAGCGAAATTATCATTCTAACAAGTCTCAATGTGTAGCCTTTACTAAAAGGCTAGATACTTATAGTGTTCATACTAAGTTGTTGAATAGTGTTAAATTGTTTGGTTTTTTTTTAAAATCCTATGTGGTATCACAACATAAATCAACTGCATACTTTCACCCTGAAACATATCTCACTCATTTATATCACCTTATATGCAAAAATTATCTAGTTCATAAGAAATAAAATCTGAACAATTACAAGGTCTTACTTGAAAACGCGTATCTAAATTGAATTACTGAGTGTCGTGTGGGGTAGCAGAGTTGAAATGGAAAGGGAATGTGTGACGGAGGTAGGGGACCTGTGACAATTCTTGGATGCTGCGGTGCTTAGACGATAAGGTTTGCATATTGAGCTTGGCATGGATGCTAATGTTGCCTTAAATGTTGATCTCGATTTTTAGTGTCTGTATTGATGGAAAATGGACTTGAGCAACTTAACTTAAAAATAGCAAAATAAAAGCTGAAATAAGATGTATGATATTTGTGGTGTTTATATAAGGAATTCACAAAGGAATGGTAGGCATAGGCTCTTGGTGTGAAGACACAAAGTTTGCAGTGTCCCCGAGGATCTCTACTATACAAAATGAAGATTCAGAGACCAAATGTGGAGAAGTTAGCTTAGCATAAGCTGCAGGGTTTGACAGTGCTTGGGTTGTGGCACCAGCAGTAGAGAATTAGGAACAGAGAATTTGCTTGGGAAAAATTCTGTGTACAAAGGGATCCATCTTCATATTCTTTGCAAATTTTCCAGAAAAATGAACACATCCAGGAGCTGGGGCTGAGGTAAACACATACCTCTGGTATGTCACGTCACTATTCCCATACTGTGTATCATAACATTCCTACTGTAGAAAAGAGAAGTATCAGGGGTTTGACATAAAGAGAGAAGATTGCTTCCCCTTCTCTGTGTTGAGTAACAAAATGCCCACATAATAGGTGATGGGACGAACCGAGTTTAAGTTTGGAAGAGTTGTTACTGGTATATTATATTAATAATTTCTCTTTCCTGTCTAACAGACAAGTATTTTCTACGAGTCCTTACTTTTGATGGAACTTCAGAATTTATATACTAAATAATAAAATACTTAGCATGCCACACGTGGGGGTCAGTGGTTATGTATTAATACACAAACAGCTAACAGACACAGGAACAAATTTTCAGAATTTTGTATCATATCCCACACACATTATTTGTATCTGATATTCTGTGAACTGCAAACATAACAAAAATGTGGTGATCTTGTCCAAATACTGTCATTTTGCCTTTTCATCCTGTAATATTCTTGGAATATATCTATGTGGCTGCACCACATTTCTCATTTTTCATATTTGTGATCATCCAAACATTTTGTCTGTTCATGATTATCCTGTGGTTGCTTTGAGGAGTCAGAAAACTGAAATTAATCTACCAGTACCCCAGTTATGCTAAAGTTCATGTTGAGTGTCACTGTCGCACCTACTTGCTGGGGTTTTGTCTGTATTTGATCAATTTTGGCTACTGTGTGGGCCAAGGGCAGTATTACCATCCACATTCTCGTTAAGGATATTTTAATCTTTGAGTTTTTTCACATGGAACTTTTTACTAATTGGTTGTCAAATAAGGATGCTGCAAGTTCTAAGCTAATAAAACTTTCCACCCAGAGGGACTTCAGCAAAGCATTCAGCACAGTTTCCCACAGCATCTTGCTCAGGAAACTGGCTGCTACTGACCTGGACAAGTTCACCCTCTCTTGGGTGGAGAACTGGCTGGATGGTCGGGTGCAGAGGGTTGTGGTAAATGGAGCAAAGTCCAGCTGGAGGCCAGTCACAAGTGGTGTTCCCCAGGGCTCAGTGCTGGGTCCAGTCCTGTTCAATCTCTTCATAAATGACCTTGATGAGGGGATTGAATGTACCCTCAGCAAGTTCGCAGATGACACCAAGCTGGGGGGAAGTGTTGATCTGCTAGAAGGCAGAGAAGCCCTCCAAAGAGATTTGGACAGGCTGAACCGATGGGCTGAGACCAATGGGATGAGGTTTAATATGGCCAAATGCTGGGTCCTGCACTTGGGAAACAACAACCTGGTGCAGCGCTACAGGCTTGGAGAGGAGTGGCTGGAAAGCTGCCTGGAGGAGAAGGACCTGGGGGTGTTGGTTGACAGTCGGCTTAACATGAGCCAGCACTGTGCCCACGTGACATCAAGACCTCCAGTAAGTTCAAAATTATAACTGCATAAAAATGTGTATAATTATGAATTAAGCTCAATATGGTAAATACCCATAGTACAGGTAAAATGACTGTCATGTTTTAACACATGTTCAGGCTTTGCATGTGTTGCATTGTTTTTGTGCCATCACAATAGTTAAAATAATAATAAATTTAATAGTTAAAACTTTAATTTTTATTTCTGCTGTGTTCATATTATCACTGGCAAGTATTTTAATGCAGTAGTTGAAGGAAATGCTTACACTAACGTTTTTAAATCAAAAATACTTACATTGTTTAGTATAAAGCATTCAAATTTCTGTGCAAGCAAATTATTTAGGATTGGAATTTTGAAAAAAAAACCATGGAGACTTGGTGATCCAATTACCATTGAGTTTTGATGAAGTTGAACAGCCTGTTTCTTTGAGATGCCTGTAGAGATACTATGCTTTATTATATTATTTTTAAAGAGCTTTTATTTAAAATATCCAGCTTGGTCCTAGTGCCTCCTGAGCTAGTGTCAGTAGTTCAACTATTTGCTTTAACGTGAAATTAAATGAAGTTCTAAAATCTCTTCTGCTTTTGTTACTTTACTCAAAACAACTAGTTTTCTTCATCTTTAGAACTGCTTTTTTACCAAAAAAGTCAAAATTTAAGTTAAAATTAACTTGGCTACTTCCGCTTCAGGCTCTTGACTCAAAGGAAAGCTTGCGGTAAGTCTCTTTTTCTGGTATGAATATGCA